GGGGGGGGGAGTGTTTCTAGAGGAAATGTCATGCAGGCGTTACAACAAGAAAAAGTGCGAAGATCAGAAGAAACATCATGGCTACAAGATTGGTACATGGAATGTAAGGACCTTGAATAAGCAGGCAAATTATGATCATTAAATAATTAAATTACGTTAAAAAATTTGCTATCTCCTGAGACATGACAACGTGTATTCCGGCATAAGTCCGCAGACGTTTCGGAAGATAGTACTGCCCTTATATTCAGGGACGAAGAATAACCCAGACAAGCGCGAGTTCTCCTTGCTAGCTGTTTGTTTTGATTACTTTTAAATCCTGAATATGGAGGCAGTAATTTCCTCTGAAACGTCCGGGAGCTTCTACGTGGCTTCATGTTACCACATTCTACAAGATAGTGTCCTCATATTCATCATCGTGACCGCCTCCGAATTTCGGTAACGTCCGTTTAACAGACATTTCTGATATTCGTCCATAATGGATATTCATCATCATCACCATTATACATGCCACTCTGTATGAGACTAGCATGAACTTGTTCTAGACTTTTATGTACCAAACAGTGAGTGTTATAACAAACAGTTACTTGTAACGGAATTTCGTATGGCGAATCTCAGCGTACATAATTGTGAAATAGCGTCATGCAAAGCTGCACATAGCCTGATATTAATGAAGTAAAGTTAACGCTGTAACAGGCCGTGGAAGCCCATAGGGTTGTGAGACGTCGAGGCTCCCACATTTTCAAGACAGTCGGCTCACAGATGGCGGTGGGGTTGTTAGCCTTACGCGCCGGCCGCCCTTTAACCCCAGGAATAGTCCTGGTACTCATTTCTGTTAGAGGCTGAGTCTATCCCAGGGCCATAGTGCGGCTGGAAGGATTAGGTCAATTGAAAAAATCCATTTTGAATTGTTTCATTTTTGGTCCGTTACACTATCAATCACAAAGTCAATAGAAAGTCCGTCGAGTGTAACAATTTGTAGGTCACTTCTTTATCACTTCTGCCTTACATGTTTCGGTTTAATAAAACCATCATCAGAGGCACATAGTACAATCATGAAAACACTGTCGTTGTTTAAGATGTACACAGTTATAATTTGCTGCGTGGACACTGCTACAATATGTCGACGTGTAAAAGCACAACACTTGCTAGGATTGTTGAATGCACGTTCAATTCTCGCATTCCATCCGAAACCGCCCTCAAGTTAAAACGCCAATGTTAAAATATTTAAAAAATTTTAAGGAATTTAAAAATTTTAAAACATTTGAAGTAAAATGTTAAGCTCCTCCTTGTTAATTCATCCCGAAGATGGGAGATGTCAGCTTGCGGTTGTATGGCTTATGGTTAGATGTTTCCTATGTGCTGTGTGTTGTGTACACAACACACAGCACATAGGAAACATCCCATCTTCGGGATGAATTAACAAGGAGGAGCTTAACATTTTACTTCAAATGTTTTAAAATTTTTAAATTCCTTAAAATTTTTTAAATATTTTAACATTGGCGTTTTAACTTGAGGGCGGTTTCGGATGGAATGCGAGAATTGAACGTGCATTCAACTATCCTAGCAAGTGTTGTGCTTTTACACGTCGACATATTGTAGCAGTGTCCACGCAGCAAATTATAACTGTGTACATCTTAAACAACGACAGCGTTTTCATGATTGTACTATGTGCCTCTGATGATGGTTTTATTAAACCGAAACATGTAAGGCAGAAGTGATAAAGAAGTGACCTACAAATTGTTACACTCGACGGACTTTCTATTGACTTTGTGAAAAAATCCACCTCATTGGAACCTGATATTAATTACCCATTATAATTAATTATGGAACCGTAACAAAAATATGGGCTATAACATGACGTTTCCTCGTTCACAAATGTTGCACTACTTTTTAAAGTCCTACTACATCCAAAATGTATTTCAAATGAAACGACATAGCGGTTATGATGACCACACGTAACCACATTGCGTTACACATCACAATTTCCGGTTAAGTGACAAGGAGAGATCAGGAGAAGAATTCCTCTTCTTCTGGTTT